ACGATGTGGTTTGACTCACCAGGGCTATTTGTGCAGTGTTTTCTTGCCACCTTAACTTCACCTTCATCCCAGTCCCTGTGGCATTCCTAGGCCGTGGGGGGCCAGGGAAGTCTCTGGCTTCAGGAAGAAATTATGGCATCTAGGTGGGTAGGATGCTCCCCCCACACCTATCTTTGGGGTGGCATTTCAAGAGATCAGGAGAACCAAAAGCCCTTCCCTGTGCTGCCTTCATCTCCCCCCAGTCCAGAGAGGAAGCGTGGACCCCAAGGAGGAGAAAGGTTGTTGTCAAGGCCCCACCAATGAGGGGGATATCCCCACTCAGGAGTGGCCCAAGAGCCACCAGGGTTCCCCAAAGCTCCGTTATACTCCCACTGCCCTGGGATTCAACTCAGAGGGGTAGAGAACGCACAGAGCTATGATACCAAGTGTACTTTTTTTTTTTTTAAAGATTTTTTTTATTGGGGAATTGGAGGGATGGGAACAGTGCTGGGGAATTGGGGAAAGGGGAACAGACAAGTTGCTGTCGTTTTGTTCTTCAATCTAGTTGTGGAGGATGTTGCTTCACTGGCCCAAGTTGGCACCATCATTGCGCTCTTCTCTGGCGAGGCATATCAGTCGCCGGCTTCTGGACGGCCGCTCACTGCGGCTGCTGGCCGCTCACGCTGGCTGCTGGCCACACACGGTAGCCCATGGCAATCCACTGCCACAGGGACTGCAGCCCACGCCGTCGCCGGCGACTCACGGCAGCCCAGCTCCAGGTCGAGCTGTTGTTCAGCATCTTAGCTGTGGAGGGCAGTGTCACTGGCCCTCATATGTGGGATCCGAACTGGGGCCCTCCGGCATCCCAAGCGAGCTCCTAACCATCGCGCCACTCGGCCGGCCCCCAAGTGTACTTTTTAACAAGGGGAGACCGCTCTGCCCAAAGCAGTTATGGAATAGTCATAGAAGATGGCATTCTGATCTTGTCACTACAGCATGTAGATGCTACAGCATGTAGATGCAAAGAAGAACACTGAAAATGGAATCGCTAAGGAAGGCTGTGCTGGGGTCCTGAGGTCTGAGAGCGGCAAGGTGTGAGCATCCAGAGGCCCAGGGAGCCCAATCTGGAAAGGGGCCATCCTAAAGGAGAGATAGGAACGCATCCCCAAAGCACCTGCTGGGGGCCAGTGCTCCAAACTCCACATGATTTCCCAATAACCTTAGGGGAGTGCTGTGAGGCACATTTTGCACATGCAGGTTAATGAAAGCAGTCTTTGATCCCAGGTCTGGACAGCTGGGGAGTAGAGGAGATAAGCCAGGAGAAGCAGGCTGGGGCCAATGGTGGAGGGCAGGGAGGCCAGGCAGAGGAGAAATCGGGATCTAAGTGATAGAGCACCTGAGTTTTCAGGAGGAGATTGCATGACTTCCCCAGGGTGCCTATGCAGATTGTGCTGAAGCTTGGGTAGGGAGAGGCTGAGAAACTTGCTGGGAATCTGTCTCTATAATGCAGGGATGAATGTAGAGGATGGAAGAGGGAGGGTGCTGGAGCCCCAGGGAAAGCAAAGGGATTAGGCAGGATTCAGACCAAGTGCCCTGGAGGGTGAGTGTACAGAGCCCATGCCAGTTGGCACAGTTCCAGCCACCACCCACCTCGAGCCTGACTCTGCCAAGATGCCAGCAGGGGGCTAGGGATTTCTCCTTGGGCTTCTGGGGCTTTCTAGCCCACCACTGAGTTATCCGAGGAGTCTGGAAGTGTCCTGTGGACCGAGGCCCTGGCTGCCTCTTTCTCCTTTCTTGCCCATGCCACAGTGGGTCACTCAGACACTTCATCCGGCTCCCCTCAGGGCTGGCCACAGCTCCCACACACCTACCAGTGCACTCACCTGCCTCCACTCCTCTCAAGGTGTGTCTGTCCCAGCCCTGCAGGTCATCCTGGCTGTACAGGCTCATGGCATGCCTATACCTGCATGCTTAGACCCTCCCGCTGTCCGGGGCCCTTCTGTCTTCACCCTGCCACGTCCAGAGGTTCAGGGGATAGGGGAGCAGACAGCCAGAGAAACTGGCTGAGGTCTGGCCGCACCACCTCCTCTTCCCCTTCCCCACATGTCCCCTGCACACAGGCTGCCTTTGGGGTGTACCTGGTCCCCTTTGAGCACCTCTTGTTTTTATGTTTTCTTCATTTTCCCTGAGGAACAGGGTTGGGGAGCATGTATGGTGTTTGAGGGTGCCAGCCCAGACATGTTGTATCTGGACTCCATGGTTGTCCCTGGCTGGGCTCTGTTGCTGCCTTGCCTGGTGAGCTTTGACATTATCCTGATACCTTCCAGGTTCTGGGTTACCCTTGCCCAGATTGGTCCCTTCCAGCTGGGATCAAAAACATGCTGCCCTCTGGTGCAGCCTCTAATGTTTGTCTGAGTTTCCAAGAGTTCAAGGAGCCTGAAAGGAGTGCGATTCAGGGAAGGTGCCACCCAGACCTGGGCCAGGACTGGGAGGGAGTTGGCCCCCAAACCTCACAGCATCAACAGTTTTTATTCTTCTTGGGAAAATAAATTAAGATGCAAACCAGCACACCAGGCATGTGTCTACAGAGGTATTAGGAAGATAGTGTTTTCAACATCTTTAGAGATCATTGAGTCATCTGTGCTACCCACACTCCAGGAAAGGAGACACGGCATTCAGATGACCCAGACCTCTGTCACTCTACAAGGAACAAGGATTAGAACCCATCTATGCCAAGGAAATCCCCTGCAGTCCCTAAAATTCTCAGAATTGGGTCACCATTGCTTAACCATTCTTTCTTCATTGCCACGCCACGGTTGCTGTTCTTATAGTCAGCTAATGACTGACTCCTGCAACAGATTTCCATCTCGGCCTAGCCAGATTTCCTCCATCATCCCTCCCGCCCCAGGATTACCATCCCTCCCCCCACCCACCTTGGGCTGCGCTCTCCTTCTTTCCAACTTGGGGGGGAGGAGGTGGGAACAGCTCTCTGCAAAAGGACTGAAAGACAAATTAACGTTTGAAGTGTGGGTGTCTGATCAACCCTGTTTCTTCCAGGAGGGTTTTTATCTTAACCAGAGGCTTAAGCCTTAGGCCAAAAATACTGAGACATTATTTAATGGGTTTAATGGGAGGATTTTAGGTATGGACTGATGATAGGAAAGGGATTTTAGAGGGAAAGGGGCCTTTGCAGGGTCCATTATCTCATGCTAAGCAAATGGGCGTGGAGTTGATGGGGTGCCTGCCTACAGGCTCCTAGTGTATGGGAGGCTGACAGGAGGAGAATGTTACAGGCCCAGGAGGAAGGGCCAGAGTCCAGGAGGACTGACAGGTCCCTGGGGAGTCGCCCTATGGGCAGAACAATTAGATACGCCAACTTGCTTACCTATATGTGCAGTGACTCAGCCCAGAGTTTCTGGGGTACTGATACAGCCCAATAGCAGGAAGTTGGGCTTTTCCATTCATTTATTTACTCAACAAGTATCTAGTAAGTGCTGAAACACGGCCTCCCAGGCCTGCCAGTGCCTGGGGCACAGTGGAGACAGACACACTAGCCTGCTGTTGCAGTGCAGTGTAGCCAGTGCTCCACCAGGAGAACAGAGGACTCTAGGCTGAGAGGAGCACCTGGCCCAGACTTGGGGGCTCAGGGAAGGCTTCCAGAAGAGGTTCCTTCTAACACCTTAAGGGGCTACCCAAGGGAAGGGTAGGGGTGAAAATGGAAGAGAAGTGTATTCTAGGAGGAAAAAATGGCAAGACATCATGGCACCTTCTGAGACTGACAAGTGATTGGGTTTCACTAGAGTCTCAAGTGCAAGTGTTAAGAGCATGTGTGTGCATGTGTGTGCATACACGTGTGTGTGCATGTACGTGTGTGTGTTTGGGGGCAGGGCAGGGGCTGGGGTGTAGGGAGGGTGGAAAGATAAGGCTAAGGCTGGGGAAGTTGGCAGGAACAGCCATGTCAAGTGGTTGGGACTCCATCCTAAAGGCAGATGGGAGCCATTAAAGGATCTTAAACTGGGGAGTGACATGGTTAGATCGAAAAAGACCCCTCTGGTTTCCCTTGAGAGAAAAGATTAGAGTAAGACAAGATAGAAGACAGGGCACAAGGAGAAGCAAATATGAAGGTGCCCTGCACCAAGGCAGTGACATTGCAAGGAGATGTGGATGGGGAGGAGAGGCCAGAGGAGTTAAATCAACTCTGTTTGAAAGTCAAGGGCGATACTTAGTGTCTGGCCTGGACACCTGAGTTGACGATGAGGAGGAACAGATTGAGCATGGAGGAGACGGTGGGGATGATGAGGTCATTATTTTCTTTTGATTCTGTTGGGACTTGGCCACTCTTTGTCTCTGAATTAAATGATGATTATGACATATAAAGGACAGTGTCATCTCACCTTTATTCAATGGGAAGAGTGCTGTGAATTCCAGTTCACTGAATGGTGAGCCCTCAAAGATTAACCAGACATCGGGGATAAAATCAGAAGCTAGGGATATTTGTGATGCAATCCCTGGTTATTAATTCTGATAAAATTATCAACGTAGCGACAATGTAGGAATAAATCAGTCTGGGGATACACCTCTCACAGGATATCATTATTAACAATTGTGAACTAATTTGGATCAGTCCTACAAGTACAGAACACCCATCTCCACACAAGCGTTACCATCTAGAGGACTCTCTGACACTGGAAACTACTGAATTTTCTCATTTCTACTTATCTGGTGTGTACCCTGAAAATTACCCCAGCAGATTGCCAGGAGAGTGACAAGGGCAGTCATGGCGACTCTCCCTCCTTCCTTCCAGGTAGAATGGAGGCAGGGAGCCAGGCTGGGCTGCTTTTTGTTCACCCTGTGCCTTCGGGTGATCCAACCAGAAGACCTGGGAGGACTTCTTCCATTTGGGGAGGGCCTGTTGGGATCACAGCCTTTGTCGCTTCTCCAGAGCACACCCAGCATCAGCACATTTGAGTTGTTCATTTCGAATAAAAAATAAGTATGGGGCTTCAGATGTTTACTGGGTCATGCACCTCATGCTAGGAGAGCTGTGTAGGTATGAAGAGCCCAGTGGGTGCAATTAGTCACATATAGATAGTGGTTCCAGCTCCGAGATCCTGCTGAATAGCTTGTTCCTCCCATGCCTTTTTCCCCTGGGGCCCTCTGGGATGACTCACAACAGACTATGTCCCTTTTCATCCTTGTTTCTCCTCATCCCAGAGGAGGACCTGGGCCCTGCTTTGGTTTTCCTGATGGCTTGGGCTAATACAAGAGGTAAACTGGACACTTTGGGGCTGGTCCCCCAGATCTTTCCCTGGCAGAGGTAACACTCTGCAGCCATACCTTGTCCCCATATCAGCAGGTAATTGCTCAGAGAGCCAGGGTGCTTCTGATAAGAGCCAGAGGCCATCTGTGTCCATGAGAACAGTCAGTGAGACCTGGGTCCCCCTCTGTGAGACCTCTAGCCTGAAGTCTGTGACCTTCTCAGTGTCCTGGGACAAAAGTCTCTGGAGAGTCATGAGCCAGAGGGGGACCTGAAGGTGAGACAAGGACTTGCTCTGGAGGTGACTTGTCTGAAATTCCCTTCTGACTCCACACTCTCCCCTCTCTGGACCTGGGTTGGCACCTCACCCTTCCCTCCCACTCTTGTCTTCATTGGACAGTGAGCCAGACAGACTGCTATGTGAGCCTCTGGCTGCCTACCGCCTCTCGTAAGAAACGGAGGACTAGGACCATCTCCAACTGCTCAAACCCAGAGTGGAACGAAAGCTTCAACTTCCAGATCCAGAGCCAAGTGAAGGTGAGATGTGGAGCCTGTCTGCCCTGCCTGCATTTTTGCTCCCCTCCTGGCCTGCTTGTCCTTCTCTTTGCTTATGAGTCCTTCTTATGCGCATTTGTTTTTCTTTCTACCTATTTCTTGTGATCTTAGCGACCTACCTTCCCACTCCCCAACTCTTTCCTTCGGCCTATCTCATGTTTGTCACTCTCTGAGTCTGCTGATCCTTCTGCCTGCTTTCCTGTCTCTCTTGTCCTTCTACCTAATTGTTTCTGGAACTGAGTGTTTCCTCCCCCAAAATAAAGTGTATTTCCAGTACCTTCGAGAACATACTCCAAGCAGGAGAATATACAGAAGAGAAGAGCCATTCTATTCACTAAGTTCAAGGCTAGTCTAATTCCTTCCAGAGGGCTGTCTCTATCTTAAATTCTTTTTAGATTGCTTTATTATTTCTAGTTCCTTGGGTGTGTGTTCTTTCATTTGTTGATTTGTTATTTCATGGTGTTAGTCTTATTCAGATGTATGATGACTCTAAATTGCGTTCACATCTCCTGCCGGAGATTATCCCTTGACCATCCTGCGTTGTGAGAGCCTCAGCAGAGTGCTTCTTAAGGCAAACTGGGCCTCATCATGGAGGCATCATCCAGTCTTGGGACACTTGAGGCCTGACAACTCTATTCAGCTTCCTGCTTTCCTATTTTAGGGATGTTTATCCATTTCTGGTTCATGATGAGTTCTTTTTATATTTATTGTTTAAAAAATATATGTTCTATTATACATATGGTTTTGGTGAGAGAGGGGGATTTCAGTGTAGGCTCAATCTGCCATCTTGAAATCAGAATTTGGGTTTCCTTTGTCTAAAGATCTAGGGGGCTGCTGAGTTGGTTCTGGGACATACTTGGATTTTTAGTAATTATAAGGTCAACAGAGCTCATTCAGAACCACCTCATGTCCATCAAATAGGGACCAAAGAGGCAAACCCAGCCCTCACCCACATTTCCCAGGACCCTTAGAACAAGAGGCCTCAGCGGTTAATCTATGTGACCTGAGTTCAGTCAGATGATAGGGTAGCTGCTCAACTCTTTTTTTTAGCTGAGCCATCCATCCTGCCACCTGTTGGCAGCTCAGCTTGGGCCGGGACTCAAACCACTGTTGCTCAGAGCTCACACTCTTGAGCAAGCTCCTAACCAACTGTAGCTGCTCAACTCTTGACATGCTCTTGGGAACATCCATGAGACCTCATTAGAGGCTGATGAGCCAAAGGATGGAGTTCCAACACCTCACTCTGACCCCATCAAGTATCAGAAAGCCTATAATCTTTGCCACATCACTCCCCTGTAATATTAAGATGTTAGCTTCCTTGATCTGGGTTTTCTAACACCACAGGGGCTGTCTTCAGCTCCTGAGGCCCCAGTGCTGAACATATTCCACATTCTGGCAGGAGTCTTGCTTGCTCTGCCCTTCTACCTTTCTCCCAGGTAAAATGAAATCCCTCACACTTCACAGGCCCCTGCCAAACTTGCAAAATTCTCCAGTATAAGAGTCAGAGCAGAGGGGTAGGGAGGCTTCAGAGAGATGGAAAGCACAGAGTAGACACTTTCCTGTCTTCATTCATTTCCCTACAAATATCTCTCACATCTGAGCAGGGCTCTTTGTTCTAGTCCTTGCCCCTCAGACCTACCTCCTGGCTAGGACTAAGAACAGATCAATGGGTCAACACAATTATGGTAACCAGACTTGCCTTCTCCCCTAGAACGTGCTTGAGTTAAGTGTCTGCGATGAAGACACAGCGACACCAGATGACCATCTCTTGACAGTTCTCTATGACCTCACTAAGCTCTGCTTCAGAAAGAAAACCCACGTGAAGTTCCCCCTCAACTCACAGGTGAGTGCAGCTGCCTAGCCCCTCAGCCTTCAGCCTCATGAGGAGCATCTGATCATTCCCATGATGCCTTTCTATAGGCTTCTCTCTGTTTAACAGCCAGGTTGGGGAAATATAGCACTGCCTGTTCAAAGCCCAGTGCTATTGTGACCTCGTGGAAATTGTTTAATTCCTCTGAGTTCTGTTTCCTCATTTATACTATGATGATAATTGTACCTACCACACAGGTTTGTTGTGAGACCTAAATGGGAAACCGTGATTAAGGCCCCTAGCACCGTTCATGGTACAAAATGGAGATGCACTAAGTGTAGGTTCCCTTTCCTCCTTTCCTTCCCTTAGCGGACTGCTACTGTGATGACCCCAGGGGACAGAGGACATATGAGAGTAAAGGAGGGAAAATCTGCAAATCAGAGAAAGTCGGAGCTGGAAAGGACTGAGATGTTATAGATTCAATCATTAAACAAATGCTTGAAAGCTTACTAAGGGCGAGGCACTGTTCCAGGCACTGGGGACACAACAGGGGGTGAGCATCCCTGTCCTCGCCTGGCTTATATTTCAGTCAGGAAATTAAGGTCCAGTGAGTCACAACTTGCCTGAAGTTACACAGTAAGAGGTAGGAAGGAATAGGTGAGGGAAGATGCCCCTACCCTTCAGAGTGGAACTTTCTGGGGGCAATATCTCAGCTTCCCCTGCGCCCCCCCC